CCCCCCCACTTCAAACCATAACATTCCCCTACTTTGCCAGCCCCTTGGCAGTTCATCAGGTCGACATTAGGACTGTGACACATCTGCACACAGATGATAGAGTTAACACCACATTTCTGGCCTTCTACTGCTCACCCCACCCCACAGATTTTCTGCAGAGATCTTGCACGGGGACTGTAAGAGCCACCCCAGAGGCATGAGGCTCACAGCTGTGCTGCGACACCGCTCTGTGTATGAGCATGGAGCCCAGCACACCCAGCCTTGCCAAGCTTGCTGCTTTTGTTCAGAGCCTCTGTGGCTCAAGGCACAAATTTGTCTTTCCTCTTAAGCGGAAATAGCTGAAGCTTCCCTGAGCAGAACTAAAGTCCCTTGATGCCACTGGTACCTTCATCCTGATGTGTCCACAACACAGCTTCAGTGACTGAGGCTGCTCTGCTGGTATATACTGGGCTCCATCTGGTTACCGTCACTCTGGAGTAACCAAAATTAACTCCTGGGGCTGTGTTGTCCCTCCTTCACTGTCTAGCTGAGGCACCACCCTGTCAAGCCCAGCAGATTGACAAAGGGACCAGAGAAAAGTCACTGATGCTGTAGCTCTTTCTCCATACTGGGTGAGAGTCTCCAGAACAAAGCACAAAACTTTTGCTTGGTTTTCCCTTCCTCCTCCTCCCTGTCATGCAAAACTGGTGGAAAGGAAGTTGACAAAAAAAAATAAATAATTGAAATGGTTTAGCAGCAACTTCCTAGCAGAAAGATGGAAACTGAGTTTGGAAAGTCAGCGGAGAGGCCACATACAAAACTTTACCCTGGGGAAAATTTCCCTTGAACTGCCACAAATCCAGCCTCTGCTGGTGGGGGAAAAAGCTGATTTTAAGTGCTAGTCATTACCCAGCCCATTTCAGTTTTAAGAAATTCACATTAAGCTGTGCAGGATATGTTTTCCTCTGACTATCAAGTCTACCCTGGAAGCTGATGAATCCACCGAGCTATGAAGCAGTGTGAACAGGAGTTTGATCAGAATTGCTTTCAAGCGGCAGCACTTGAAAGAATGGGGAGCAGGGATTTTCACTGTCTGTAATGTCCTGTACCAAATCCCTTCTGTCCCACAACCCTTTCCCTAACACTGGGTAGGAGCTAGGAAAGGCTGAATGGAGAGCAGGCGATGGGCAGTTGGGTTTGCTGTGCCAGGAAGGAGGCAAGGCAGCTGGCACACTGCTCCGCTGGCCAAAACCTTCCCAGGCTCTGCAAGCAGACCTGTAGCTTTTGTGAGCTCTCCCATCCACAACAGCAGGATAGGAGCTCTGGCACAAACACCTCTCTGCTTTGCCCACAGGAAAGCAAGGCTGTGCGTGGCAGAAGTAGGCACTGGGATGCATTTCACAGCTGACTTGGGCTGGGGAGAAAAAGCTCACTCCAGCTGCAGAAGCAGCTCCATCAGTCCGCAGTTTGTGCTGCAGGGAGCTGGGCTGGGGCTGGAGGAGTCAGTAAACCACCAAGCAAACCTTGCCTTGCATAAAGACGCTCCGAGCAAGCATCAGGTGTGTGTGGAGTGGAGATCGCCCTCGCCTGGGGTTACTGTGCTCCACAAAATGGAAGTCGGGTCATCCCCTTCTCCAGCAATATCTGCTTACCAAGGGAGGGCTCAGGGGCACTCGCTTTTGATCTCCTAATGTTCTGTGCTGGTCCTTTCCCTGCAGAGAACTGTCACACAACCAAATCGAAGATCTGCCCAGTTTCCACCGGTGTCAGCGGCTGGAGGAGCTGTGAGTAAAGAAATGCCCTCACTTGCACCGTGCTCAGGGGAAAGGGGCTGATTTGAGGATAGAGGCAGCTCCCAAACACAAAACCCAGCCTTCACCAAGCACTGAGAAAGCTGAACCTTATAACTCACTATTTGGACTGCAAATGGACCAAGGCTATACAGAATAAAAATACATCCCCTGTGCATAGGAGCTTAATTCACTCAGGTCTTTTCAGAGGTCCACACTTTGCTCCTATGCAAATACAGAATAAAAATACATCCCCTGTGCATAGGAGCTTAATTCACTCAGGTCTTTTCAGAGGTCCCAGCCACAGAAAACAGAAGTAGGACATGTCAGCACTGAATTTTACTTCATTAACTCAAGTCCCAGTATGAGCTCATCTCTACCATAAATGTCTTCTCTTTCAAGGAGGGGGTCCCATGCCGTGGGCACAACACAGCACTTATCCACACTGCTCAGGACTAGCCACCCCATAGAGAAGATTGACACTTTCCTTATGTGTAGCACTTGAATTGGGTCTCCTCTGGGCCCTGGGAGGCACCTCTGTTGCTCTGAGACAGTTGTTCATGTTCAGTTCAAAGTTTCTGGAGCTTTAGCCCTACATTTCAAATCTAACAGAAGTTCTTGGCTTTTTTGAGAAAAAAAAAAAAAGAGAAATAATAGACTCCATGATTTTTATAGAATTCTGAAACATGGAAGAATAGATGTGTGGGAGCAGCATTCCCACAAAAATACACCGGACAGGTTGTCCTTGCTCTCTGCAGTACCCCAGCCTGGGTGGCCAGACCATTTCATCCAGCCGCAGCAAAACTGGACATGAGGACAACTGGACATTTCACCAAGTGAAATCACATGAAAATGAGGGTTACATAGCCTTTGCTGCCTCTTTGGGAGTTCTGAGGACAAAGTTAGAGCTGGGCGTATTTTTATTCAAAGTATCCTCAGGAAAATGTTTGAAAAAATAGAAAAGACATCCAAAAAAGGACAAAAAACTTTCAGAGTTCCAAACCTGTAGTTTCACTCATTGTGCCTCTATTTCTTCTTACGATATTCTATAATACAGCAAATTCAGACTTATCATTAATATAAAATCACAGTAAAATCCTGTTTCAGGCCACTTAAGTCAGACAGACTGTGTCTTAAATTAACATTTTCTTACAAAATGAGTACTTGGTCCCTTAAACCCAAAGTTATCATCCTGTAAGACTCACCCCCACCAGGCATAAAAGCTAGGAAATACATTGGAAACAAGTCTGGTGGTGCATGGTGGTACAGCCTGGCATGCAAACAACTTATGTGTGCCAGTTGCTCCGCTGTAACTGCCAATGTGCAAGTTTTTACCTGCAACACACAGGTGGTCCCTCGCAGCTAAACATCCCTGAATACTTTTTCGCTAGCTTGCTCCAACACTCCTTCTTCATAAGCTCCACCTTTCCCACTCAGTGCTCCCCCTACCTGAGACCTCCAAATTTGTGCACAGAGTTTCCCACAGCCCTCACTTGTAATCTTAACTAGACATACAAGGAATGACATCGTGGCTACATGGGGCATTGAGAAACCAGCAGTAAAGCAGATATGAGAACCTCAGGCCCCTTTCTCTGAAACATGAACATGTGACCAAATACCAGCTGAGCCATTACAGCCACCACGTGCAGGTCCTTGTGTGAGATGAGTCGAGATCACTTCTGATTCTGAAAACAAGTTAGTTATCCAACAAATGTCCTAGGCAGTGGTTGCAGGTTGAGCACTAGGCAGTGGCTGTCTCCACTTGCAGAAGGTCATGGGGACACCACTTTTGCAGGTCTGGAGATTCATGATGGGCATTTCGCAGGAATTTTTAAAAATATTCACCATTGTTCCACACTAGGGAAAAGAAAACTGAAAACCTGTGAATACTTCCCACAAAGTGGATGTTTGCATCAGTTCTAGATGTCTTTTGAGAAGGGGTGGGGAATGTATAGGTCAGTCAGCAAACACCATGGCCAGCTCTTACCCTGCTCCCTCTCCTACCCCAGAGTGCAGGAGGCTGCTGGAAGGGAGATAATCAGGAGCTGAAGCACTTTATGAAAATACACATGCAGGATGTGGATGATGGATTCAGAAATACATTGGGATTTTTCTTCATGAAAAGCTGAGATGCCTTCAGCCCTCAAAACCTCTTCATCATCACCAAGGCAAAGGGAAGCACCATGTAGTCCTTCCTGAAGCATCACACAGAGCAGTTTGCTGGCTCTCTGGCTCCAAGCTCTCCTCTTTTGCTCTGGATGAAGCAGTTTGCAGGCTTAGGGTGGAGCAGAGTAGGAAATCAGCATGGCTTTGGAGATAGTGGGGTACCTTTAACCACTGCACATCAATGGCACTTCACTGTGCCATGATTGCATCAAAAGGAAAGGCTGTCTGAGCCCTGGGCTGTTTAGTTGCTCATCCTGTTTATCCCTTGAAATGAGAGTAGGTCTCCCAAGCTTGAATGACAGCTTCCACTGTGACAGTGCCCATCTGCTGCCATGGGACAAAGATCCCTACTAAGTATGAACACTGCCTTCAGCTGTTTTCTCAAACCAGGTTCTGCTTTTTCAGTGGTCTCCAGCACAACAGGATCCATGAAATCAGAGAAGACACTTTTGTGCAGCTGATGGCCCTGCGGTCCATGTAAGTATTGTCTGGCAGGGGGAAGGACCGGGCTTTTGCTGGGGGAAGGGGAACTGTGAGCACACAGCCAGGCTGATGTAGAGTTTCCCACCCCCACTCCCTCTGCCTCTGCTGGGAGACTTTGCTGTCCGGTCCCTCTTCCACGTCCTCTTAGAAAAGAACAGGGCCAAACCTTCCCTCTGGCTTTCCTTCTGCATGCAGACACCCCTGTAAATAAACTCATTACCTGCCAGCCTTACTGCCCACACATGCAGACACTCAACACCACGTGCTCTAACCACGCTCTGCAACACATTACAGACACCTGCCTCCTAGATGCCCGTGCAGACACGGACTGGTGGCAAGGATTTACCACAGTGTGCATGAGCTCCAGCACTCCTTTCCAGTCCTGGGCCACGCGCTCCCGGAACATCCATGTAGAACATCCCGTTTGATTTGAGACTGTCTCCCCACAACTCAAAAGCATATGTGAGACGTATTAAGTGCACACAAGCATGCACATATCATACACGCGTAGTGACCTTGCAGTAGACAGCCCGCTTAAGTGCTTGGCATCTCTGAGAAGCTAGTAAGGCTCCGCAGGGCATGATTCTCCCTACGTGTGGGAAAAGCTCTCCAAGTGCTTATGGTCTTTATTTACTGTTCTGTTAGGGAGTGAACAGAATCACATAAAAGCTTTTTCCCATGGTGCAGCAATCTGAGTGTCATTTAATAGGCCAGCATTCCTAGAGATCACATGAGCATCGTGTACACCATGTTTATAACCGCACAGGAACACTGGTGTATTACATGTAACACTACAGACAAGTATGCAAATACAAGCATGCTGCTGCCACACTATAGTCCCACAAATGTACAGCTGCACGTGCAAGCTCTAGCATTTGCCTTTGGGTATGTTCTGGGTCCCTGTGGGAAGGATTCATCTCACTCAACTTCAGCCTTCTGCAGTGTGACGCGTACATCTGGGCAGGCACCCCAGCTCCTTTCAGAGCTGGAGAGATGAAGATATACATAGGAGACTGCTCATGCAGTCAGCCTTAGGAGAAAAAATGCTTTCTGATATGCTGGTTCCTCTGTGCTGATGACAGAGGGAGTTGAGCCCTCTAGCTCAGATGGAAGCGGAGCTTATTGAGGAGCCTCAGTGAGTCCAAGCCAACTGTACATGACAGGAGACACTCTAAGATGACCTTGGTTCACCTTCCACACAGCCCCTGATCCTATCTGCCCTTGCTGGGGCACCTGGCACTGTGACCACATCAAGGATGCTCTGGCACTAAGGCATAATCTCTCTACTGCTCTGAGGTTTAGCATGTTAGCTTAAAATCTCCAAATTTACAGATACGAAACCAAAAAGGAACCTTTCCCATTGGTCTCAGTGGAGGAAATCCTGCAAGGCAAACTCTTGTGCCATCTGTTAGAAACCACCCAGAGCGACCCAGGATATTTGTTTCCAGGGAGCTGCAGTGAGACAGAACTTGCTGCCAATCAAGGAGCTACATATCCCACATTTGCTTGCATCAAATTCCTTGACCAGGCCGGTGTCAGCAGCTTCACTGCCCTGCTCCTCACCCCTCTTGCTGGTGTGTCCTTCCCTTGCAGAGACCTGAGCTGGAATTACATCCAGTTTATTCACCCTGAAGCCTTTGTGACCCTGCACTCGCTCACCAAACTGTAAGTTGCAGTGATATTTCTTTCACAGTGGGCCATGGACAGTAGGTATCTGAGGACCTCAGACTGGCTACCAGGACACTTGGCATTTAGATATCAGAAGGCTGCAGTGCTGAGGTGCATGTCTCAGCACTGACATAGGCAGATCAAATCCCAAGGTTTCCTATCAATACTAAAGGGATGATGAAAGTGCAGAAGGGTCCATCTTCAAGATGCTCTCACCCTGAGCACTTAAACCTCCACTTTCTAATGCTTTCATACCTGCCTTAGATGCCTTTATGAAAGATGAACATGATAGACCATTTCCGCAAGACTCATTGCAGACCATCTTTGCTGACTCTGGAGGGGTCCCCAGTTCTCAGCCCCCTCACTACTCTTGGGTATTTTATGGACTGGGAGTTGCAGTCACACCTGACCTGTTATGGGAGAAGTGGTGGGGGAAGAGATGTCTGAGGTAGATATGGGCACAGGGAGGTAGATACCACCCAGAGCTTTCAGTGTGGGCATTAATCCCTGCCCCTCATTTTCCCCAGGGACTGCAGTATCAATCCATTTATCTCCAGAGGATCCTGGTCCCCATGCAGCACTCAGCCTCATTTCAGCATCACATTTGAGAGATCGATTGAGGCAGACAATATGGCTTTCCAAGCCTCTGCTTGGCTGAGCTACCACTAGCAGCAAAATCCTGACCACAGTCTACTCTGCTTTCCCTTCATCAGGGACTTGACTGATAATCAGCTGGTCACACTGCCTCTGGAGGGTTTGGGTGGACTGACCCATCTGAAGCTCCAAGGCAATCCGTCTCTCTCTGAGCCCTTCACCAAGGAGAGCTTCCCCAAAATGAGGTACTGGCGGTGTTGGCTCTTTCACTTCTGGTGCTCAGCACAGCCTCTATTTGCTTACAGCAATCAGCCTCCTGCTTTCCTGTTTATCTCTGTCCTTTCAGGCCAACAGATTGCAGAAGCTTCATCTGCTGCTAACGCGCATCTTTCAAAGTCTTACGTGGGAGAGCGGCGATGTGCTCCCAGGCCCGCTGCCCCCACCCCAAACACAGACACAAGTGGAAAGCATGGAGCAAGCCCAGCTCAGGGCTCCTCTCAATGGAAAACATTCCCAGAAGCCAGTCCTAGCTAATGACATGCAGCTTTCCTTCAGTAAACTCTGTTTGTGTGGCCATGTCTTATCTGCTATGGATTAATGAGGAGCCTGGAGGGGTCAAACTGAGCAAGATGAGGCTGCAAAGGCTCAGAGCACAGTGCCGCACTGCAGGCTCTGGGTCTCCTGATCCTCTTTTAGTGGTGGGTCTCCAGTGCAGCATTTGCCTTCATCTTCTGCTTGGATCTCCCAGGTAGTCCCCTTGGAGACAAGGATGCATGAGCTCATGCTCTCACTCTTCCAGTACGGGTTCCTAAGGCTTCCCAAATTTAGACGCCCACTGCTGAAGTCACAGGCGACTGCACCAGCATTGAGCTTAATAGCTTAGGTTTGATGAAAAGTGGGGAGTTGTCATTTCAGTATGCTTTAGCAATGGTGCCTGCAGGGCTTTCTCTTCTGACTTTTTTGACTTATAGCTGGGATCTGCTGCATGACTGGTTTTCAAATGGCAGGGGATCTCAGAAGCTTCTGGAGGGCTTTCCAAGCCCAGGATAGCAGTCTCTTGTGCAGAGTGAGTTCAAGTTCAGCACTTTCAGGGGCATTTCTCCTCTAAATTAATTCCATTGACATCTGTGGAGCTGTTTTGGCTTTGTACCAGACAGACTGAGTCTACAGGAGC